AAAAAAAAAAAAAAAAAAAATCAATGAGCCCTGGCTGATTTGGTTTAGTGGTTAGAGCATCAGCCCACAAACTGAAGAGTCCTGGGTTCGATTCTGTCCAAGGGCACGAACCTCTGTTGCAGTCTCGGCTCTGGTTGGGGTGCATACAGGAGGCAACCAATCCATGTGTCTTTCTCACATGGATGTTTTTCTCTTTCTCCCTTCCTTCCACTCTCTGAAAAACAATGGAAAAAATATCCTCAGGTCAGAATTAAAAAAAAAAATCAATGAATCTGTCCTCAGGTGAGGATTAAAAAATAAACAAAAATTTGAAAAATGAAAAAAGAGGACAAGAGGAGGAGCGTGGTAGAGGGCACTCCCTGTGTGACCTGGGGGGAAATGCTGTCCCTCTCTGTGCCTCAGTTTTCCTTAGCTATAAAATAGGGGCAATGTGAGGCGAGGGCTTGGTGCTATGGTGCATGTTGAATGCACATCTCTGGGGCAGGAGTGCCTCTTTACATGGGCCTACTCCACACACAGGGGGGGACTGTGCCACCCTGCTGAAGAACATCGGGGCGCTGCCTGTGGAGATGGCCCGCATGTACTTTGCAGAGACTGTACTGGCACTTGAGTACTTACACAACTATGGCATTGTGCACCGTGACCTCAAGCCTGACAAGTGAGCCTTGACTTTTCCCATCACCCTCTCCCTGCCTCTGTGGGCACTGGCATGGGAAGACCAGGAGGGAGGTGGGCAGGCCAAGCCCCTGAGCCCCTGAGCCCCTGCTTCTGTTTTCAGCCTCCTCATCACCTCCATGGGCCACATCAAGCTCACGGATTTTGGCCTCTCCAAAATGGGGCTCATGAGCCTTACCACTAACTTGTATGAAGGCCACATCGAGAAGGATGCTCGGGAGTTCCTGGACAAACAGGTGTGTGTGCGCGGGTGTGGGGATCACTGTGGAGGGTGTTATCCAGCAGGACTTCGGGGGGCGGGAGGGCGGTGAGGGCAGGGGGGGAGTACAGCTCCCCCTTGAGGCCCCTCCTGTGGCCAGGGTGCAGGCTGATGGCCTGCCCCCAGGTGTGTGGGACCCCAGAATACATCGCACCCGAGGTCATCCTGCGCCAGGGCTATGGCAAGCCGGTGGACTGGTGGGCAATGGGCATCATTCTCTACGAGTTCCTGGTGGGCTGCGTTCCCTTCTTCGGAGACACGCCTGAAGAGCTATTTGGACAGGTCATCAGTGGTGCGTGCCTCCTTGGTGGGCAGGTGGGGGGCATGGGGACACTGGCAGACCCAGGGCCTTTTGGACTCCAAAAGTGACCCCCAGCCCTACCCTGTTCTGTAGATGATATCCTGTGGCCTGAGGGAGATGAAGCCCTGCCCACAGATGCCCAGCTCCTGATATCCAGCCTCCTGCAGACCAACCCCCTAGTCCGGCTTGGGGCAGGTAAGAGGTCTGCTGTAGGGCTAAGCGCTAAGTGCTGTGGCCCTGGGGTGGAAGACAGGGGTAGGTGGCTGGGTTCTTGAGCTGGCCATCAGCTGTCGATGGAATTCCCTCTCGGCCCCCAACCACCCCTTCCTTCCCAGGGGGTGCCTTTGAGGTGAAGCAGCACAGTTTCTTCCGAGACCTGGACTGGACAGGGCTGCTGAGGCAGAAGGCAGAGTTCATCCCCCACTTGGAGTCTGAGGATGACACCAGCTACTTCGACAGTGAGCTGGGAAAGGGGGTGGGATCTGGTGAGGTGGTCCCTTGGGCAAGGCCTGGGTTGGAGTCCAGCTGGATAGACCAGCTTCCCAGAGGAGAGGGATGGGGGTTGGGTGGCCTGGATTAGGGGCAGGACTCAGTCTGAGCAGGTGGTAGGAAAGGAGGTTGGGCCTGGACAGTGGTGAGTTCTGGAATTGGGCCTGGTCCTGGGATACTGGGCGGAGCTAGGGCCCAGAAGGAGGCGGGGTAGGGGCTGGGGCGGGGAGGAGTCAGGGTGGAGAGCTCCACGTGTGAGGCCTGGGGGTGTAGCCTCTGGAGGCGGGGAGTAAACCGAGCCTCTGAGAGTTGGGCTGGAACCCAGCCTGGCAGCAGGGCCTGAATCAGATTCTAGATTGGGACAGGGGCATGGCGGGGCCTGCAGCCATGGCTTGACCCAGGACTCGGCTCCTGTAAGGGTGTGATCTGAGGAGTGGACCCGCGCCCTAGGTCACGGCCCACCCCCATTTCCAGCCCGCTCAGATAGGTATCACCACGTGAACTCCTATGATGAGGATGACACGACGGAGGAGGAGCCTGTGGAGATCCGCCAGTTTTCCTCCTGCTCCCCGCGCTTCAGCAAGGTGAGCCCTGGCTGGGTTAGGGGTGGGGCCAGACGCGGGGTGAGCTGGGGCGAGATCGGGAGGCGGGGCTTGGCCAGAGGGATGGGGGCGAGGGGGCAAGATCTTTGTTTCCCAGCA